ACTTGATTTCTTTGTCGGTTACAGCTTTTTGCTTCTTTGCTTGTTCAGTATGATTTCTCTCTCTTTCCTCTACTTTTGGTTTTTTAGTCCAAAGATCAAGAAATGCTGAATTAATATTTGGAGTTTTTTCTTTTCCTACGGGATATACTCAGGTACAAAAACGGGCGCCTCTCACCCGCGAGCGATTTATTAGCGATGGAGCAATAACTTTTAGGCTAATAGTGGTACCACTGGTAAGCGTGCTCTATTGCTAACAAAGCTTTTCTCAAAAAGAACCGCCCGGAAACACTACTGGAATGAACCATGTATTTTTAGTAACGCCACACTTACACAAGACGCAATTTTTGCGGTATCTAGAGGAAAGATTAGTTAGTAAAACTTTCCACTGCTTGGCCCCTCTTCATTTAAAAGCGCAAGTTTCTAAGGAAACTGCATCATATAAGGCCTGAGGTGACGTGAGCATCCTACTAGCTTTTTGTCCATTTACAGTATGCCGTCGGTTTCATCAGCTTCTTCGCTCCTGGCCTTTCGATCCCAACTCGTCAACTTGTAATGCCGTTCCACCAGCTAGCTGGCATAATGATCTTTATAGCTGTGATGATCAATGTAGGAATGGGAATTTCTGAGAGATCTGCCTGGAAACACACGTAAGCTGACGGAGAAATGCACTAATATGTTTTAAAGTAAACTTGATGAGTATTTTTGAGGTGCTGGACAGTAGGACGTGAGCTTTGTGGTCAACAAGCTGTAGCAAACCTCGTTGGAGTTTGTGTATTCTCCTATGCGATGTGCGTTCTGATCCTAGTGGCAAATCCCAGATGGAAACGACGCCCATTGCCTGAAGAAGAAAGCCTTCATCAGCTTACTGCCTCCAGTAGTCAAGACTAGATCAGCGTGCATAACTTCTGCTTGTCATAAAAGTCGCAATGATGATAAGGCTTGATTTTTGAGACATTTATAACCTGTACCCAGGTGAATCTCACCAAGCTTTTTTGCTTTTGATAAGCACCTTTTTTTTGCTGTACTAGACTAATTCCCTCCATGACAAATGCACAACTACCATAATCCCAGTCTCTAGTAATGTGGCTACTAAAATCCAGTAAAATGGACAAAAATCTTCTTGCTTCTGATATTTTCTATTTTTGCTTAGCTTTCACCCCTGTTCTGAATTTGACCATG